TTTGGTAAATTATTTTATTAAACTATTACCAATTTTACCTATTTTTTAGTTGTTTTAATAATGATTTGAAATCTTTTATTTTAATTCATTTTATTTATAGAAACTCTTTTATTTTAATTCATTTAATATCAATTAATAAATATTTTTTTATTCATAAATAAATACTAAAATACTAAAAGAAAATAAAATAGCTAATTAGTGGTAGAGTTTTATAGACTATTTTTTATATTAATAACTTGTCTAATTAGATTTCCTTTTATTAAAAAAGTCATAATAAAAGGTAATTTGTGGTAGAGTTTTAGAAAAATTATTTAATTTTTTGTATCAATTAATAAATATTTTTTTATATTAATAATTCTTATCTAATTAGATTTATTTTTATTAAAAACTCATAATAAATAGATAAATAAGTAATTTGTGTTAGAGTTTTATAGAAACTCTTTTAAAAACTATTTGTATATCAATTAATAAATATTTTTTTATATTAATAATTCTTGTCTAGTTAGATTTGTTTTCTTAAAAAACTCATAATAAATAGATAAATAGGTATTTTGTGTTAGAATTTTATAGAAACTCTTTTAAAAAATTATTTTATTTTCTTTAAATATATTCTTTTATAATTAGATTTCCTTTTATTAAAAAAAAAACTCATAATAAATAAATATATGTGATAAAGTTTTAAAGAAAATAAAATAGGTAATTTGTGGCCGTGTTTTATATAAATTATCTTATTTTCTTTTAATAATTTTTTTCCCTTGGAAAAACTCATAATAAATAGATAATGTGATAGCGTTTTATAGAAAATAAAATAGCTAATTTGTGGTACATTTTTTTGAAATTATTTTATTTTCTTTAAATATATTCTTTTCTAATTTGGTTTCCTTTTATTAAAAAAAAAAAAAAAAACCTCGATAAATAGATAATATGTGTTAGAGTTTTATAGAAACTCTTTTAAAAACTCTCTTTATATCAATTAATAAATATTTTTTTATATTAATAATTCTTGTCTAATTAGATTTCCTATTATTAAAAACTCATAAATTGATAAATTCGTAATTTGTGTTAGATTTTTATATAAACTCTTTTAAAAATCTATTTTTATATAAATTAATAAATATTTTTTTATATTTATAATTTTTCTTTAAATAGATTTTCTGTCATTAAAAAACTAATAATAAATAGATAAATATGTAATTTGTGTTAGAGTTTTATATAAACTCTTTAAATATATCATTGTCTAATGTGAATTATGTGATAGAGTTTTATTGAAAATAAAATAAGTAATTTGTGGTAATGTTTTTTAGAAATTATTTTAATTTCATTATAGAAATTTGTATTCTTAGCTACTACCAATGCATTGATCAATTGTAGAAATGGTAACATGACCTTCACCTTTGGAAATATGAAAGTGAACATCAAGAAAAGGGAAAGAATCTACCAACTTATTTGATTTGAAAATTTGAATTCTCAAATTTAGTTTTTGTTACTAAAAAATAAAAAATAAATAAAAATTGAAAAAAAAAAACATATAAAAAATTTATAGCAACAAATTCATTTAATAATCAAGTCCAACCGAAAACCCAAAAACATTAAAACCTGTATTAAGAATGAACAAAAAATAAAAAATAAGAAGAAAAAAAATTACAATCCAAAGAAACTTATAAAGAATAAAATAAAAATAAAAACTAAAGAAAAAAGAATATCAAAAAATAAAAAATAAGAAAAAAATTACAATACAAAGTAAACTTATAAAGTATAAAATAAAAATAAAAACTAAAGAAAAAAGAATAATGATAATTCTGAAAAATAAAAAGTAAAGAAAAAAAATAACAACAATGACTCAAAATAATAATAAATTATAAATGAATCAAAAATAAAAAATAAAAAATAAAAAGAAAAAATAACAATCCAAAGTAAAAACTTATTAAAACAACCACTTTCAAACATCAATTAGAAAGCGAAAAATAAAATAAAACAAATCAACTACTTCTAAACATCAATTAAGAAGAGAAAAATAAAAATAAAATAAAAGAAAAAATAATAATAATGCTTCTAAAAAGAAAAAGTAAAGAAAAAAATTTAACAATCCAACAAATTAAGAATAACAAATTTTGAACCATCCAAAGTATGTTACAAAGAGTAAAATAAAAATAAAAACTAAAGAAAAAATAGGAATGATACTTCTGAAAAAGAAAAAAAAAAAAAAAAACAATAATGACTCAAAATAATAATAAATTAAGAATGAACTAAAAATAATAAAATAATAAAATGAAGAAAAAAAATCAACCACTTCTAAACATCAATTAGAAAGAGAAAATAAAAATAAAACAAATCAACTACTTCTAAAAATAAACATCAATTAGAAAGAAAAAAATAATAATAACATAATAATAATACTTATAAAAAGAAAAAGTAAAGAAACCAATTATAAAGAGAAAGGAAAAAATATACACACCACAAACAGGACCTAATATATATATATAGGTCATATGTGATAGAGTATTATAGAAAATAAAATAAGTAACTGAAATTTTATTAGGTAATTTGTGTTAGAGTTTTATAGAAACTCTTTTTATAATTTTTTTATATTAATTAATAAAAAAAATTTTATATTAGTAAATAAATACTGAATTATTAAAGTAGTTAATAAATATTTTTTTATATTATTAAATAAATACTGAACAACTAAAATACTAAAACTCTTTACACATTTAATAATAAATATTTTTTTATATTAATAAATAAATATTGAAATACTGAAACGCTATAAATAACAAATTTAAAATTACAATATTAGGTTAGATGATTCAATATCACTATTAAATAAAGGGCAAATTTCTCAAAACCTCTAAAACTATTAAAAAGTGATCATAAAACCCCAACCAGTTTTTAAAACTCCCAACAATATAGCAACGTTATCATTTTACCCCAACTCTGGCAATTGGCTGTTAAAAGTATGTGAAATGACTAAATTACCCTTATTATATTTCCTTTTATTTAAAAAATCAAAAAATTATATTTTAAAAATTACAATATTGTCCTTTAGCACAAAACGACAGCGTTTAGTGCCAACATAGTTGGACATCAAAACTCCGTCGTTTCATTCAAGGCAGCAGTTGTATTAGACTTAAAACGCTATCGTTTGATTCATTGAACAAGTGTGTGTGTGTGTGTGTGTGTGTGTGTGTGTGTATATATATATATATATATATATATATATATATATATATATATATTGTTACACCGGTATTACGCAGTTTAGCCGGCATGGACCCTTTTCACCGATAAGATCAGCCGACTATCCATCACTGCCTTGTACGTCGTCCCCCATCATACCCCTCCCGACCAGCTCCGCTAACCCTCATCAACTGCTCCAGAGTATACATCTCTACTTTGCCGCTACAGAACCCTAAATATCCACTCTTTTCACGGTGTTGTTGAACACCCTGAATCTGAATCTGGGTTGTCTTCTCTTTAACTTATGATTCATTCTCTACAACAATCAATGTGTTGTTGCTTGTAGCATCAGTATTTGCATTCTCAGGACTAGACATTGTTGATTTTGACAATAACATTTGGTGTCGTCGTTTTTTTATCAACACGAAGCAACATAGATTAGCTGCGATGAGGATTAGAATTGCGATGACCAAGAGTATAATCACTCCGATTCTCTTGTGCTTCTTTGGCGACGGCGGCGAGATAACCACTCCTTGTGCGTTCTGGAGAAGAGTCGTAGGCGGCGAGGCGGCGGCGCCGGCGCCGGAGGATGAGTTGAAGAACGAGGAAGTGCTGGAACCGCATGTTTTGTCGATGATCTCCTCGCAGAGGCTAGGGTTCCATGAAAACGAAGTTGTCGTGTTCATCTGTGGAAGCCATGGCCGATCTAAGAAATTACAGGTTTAGTTATTGTGTTCATCTATGGAAGCCATGGCCGATCATCATCTGCACTCTTACGTACTTTCTGAATGCAAGCAATCGCGTGTTTACGCGCGGTTGAATGTTTCTCGGTTCCAATTCGACTTCGAAGAGTCTGTCAAATACTGCAACTTCATTTGGCAGAAGCGACGTGGATCGTAATCCGCCATTGTCGATCTTTCCTTTTCGTTCTTGTTCTTCTTTCAGAGCTTTTTGTGTTACAGAGAAAATGATCAACTGAATAAAAAACTGTATATGCGTATGGTGATCTAGGTCTGCTATATGTAGAGGACGGACTTCAATCTCTCTTTACAAATAATTAATTTCTCTCTCTACTTCTTGAGCCAAGTCGTTTATCTGTTAGTTAGTGGACTTGTAAGTTAGTTAGATAGGGATCGGTCGTTAACATAGAGCAGCTGACGTCGGCGACTCTATTTTCAAGATTTGGCCAATGTTCAAATCCAAGTGAGTTGACTCGCTTCCAACTCGGTAATTCAGGCCATCCGCTGACCCGACCCAATTAGGTTCAAAAAGCAAGAGATCCAAGTTGACAAATTAATTCCTGATTTTCCTTCTCTTTCAATGGTTTATATATATATATATATATGTGTGTGTGTGTGTGTGTTTTGCTTTATATAGATGTTTATCTATATATTGGTTTGTATATCTAAACTTCATGATTGTTGTTTAAAGTGAGTATATGTAGTTAAGCCTGTCCGGAAGGGTGAGCGGAGATGGTCGCGAGTAGAGAAAGAATAAAAAGCAAGAGAGAGAAGATGACTAAACTGTGGGTTTTAACTGTAACAAGTTTTGGGGTATTTTCGGAATAACACGTATAAATATATTTCACTTGTTTGGCACATTTTACTCTAGGGGTATTTTGGTCATAAAATTCACTTTGGCAAAGCAATTGTTAATCACACGCTGAGTTAACGGCCCCAATTGGCACATTGTTATATTGTTGGGGGATTTTTTAAACTGATTGGGGTTTTATGATCATTTTTGGATAGTATTAGAGGTTTTGAGAAATTTGTCCTTAAATAAATAATGATATTATTTCTTTTCTTTAAAACTGTTATCAAACATAGCCTTAAAGGGATTATAGAAACCGTAGCCTTTCGGTCAGCCCCAAATTATCAAACCCTAAATCCTACGAGTATCCATCCGCTGTCGTCGAGCTCGATTTGCAGGCAACGGCGGGCGAGATTTCGACTTTGATTTACCAGATTTGGTTGATTTGGCAACTTCTTTTGGACATACGCCATAATGTCGAAGCGAGGAGGAGAAGAAGGGGAAGAACAGACGAAGAAGAAGAGAGAGGATAGAACTGAAAATTCAAAGCAATTACCGAACTACCTTTCGCATGAAATCATCGACCAAATACTCTCCAGACTACCCGTCAAGTCTCTGTTACGATTCAGGTGTGTTTGCAAATCATGGTGCTCTTTGATTTCCGATTCGAATTTCGTTAAAACCCATCTTAGTTGTATGTCAAGATCTGAAGAAGATGATTATAAGCACTACAAAATCATTTCGCATAGTCCTTGTGATGGTTATCTTCTCGAGTCTTGGTCTCTTTATTCTGTATTGTATGAGAAATCCTTTAAGCCCGATCTTGCATTGCATTTGAAGAATATGCATCGTGAGTTCTCGTTCGTGGGTTCTTGTAATGGGTTGCTCTGTATAAAATTTCTAGATGAAGTTTTCATATGGAACCCATCCATTAGAAAATCCAAGAGATTGCCTGATTCAGGCATGAGTGTGGGGACATATGGATTTGGTTATGATGAGTCCATTCTTGATTACAAGGTAGTAGGAGTCTTTTGGCGTACAGGTTTTTTGGTTCCCCAAGTCATGGTTTATACATTAAAGAGTGATACTTGGAGAAGGATTCAGGACTTCCCTTGTAAGCAACCACCTTTGGGTTCTGGTAAATTTGCGAACAAAGCTCTCCATTGGCCTGTTTGGGGACCAAATTATTCTTGGGTGATTGTTTCTCTTGATTTAGCAAAGGAGATATACGAGGAGGTGGCGCAACCTAAGTACGAAGATGTTGCAGAATCTGAAGATGGTCAGATTGTTTCTCTTGATTTAGCAAAGGAAACATACAAGGAGGGGGCGCAACCTAAGTACGAAGATGGTGAAGAATCTGAAGATGGTGAAGAATCTGAAGATGAGGATTTCAATTTGTATTTGGGGATTTTAAAAGGATGCTTATGTGTGCAGCGTAACTACCATGGAACTCGTGCTCGTGCTGATCTATGGGTCATGAAGGAATTTGGTGTGAGAGATTCTTGGACTAAATTAGTCAGCATCCCCTATACCTATTTCTATTTCTATTTGACAGATTCGGAGGAGGTTGGGTACTCGCTACCATTGTGCATTTCTAAAAATGGTGAAATTCTGTTGGTATTAGATTCTCTAATTATATATGATTTAAAAAAGAATACATTGAGGTTTCCTTCCTATAGCGGCTCTATTTTCCAATTGGAGACTTATGTTGAGAGCCTTGTTTCACCTAGTGCTGACAATGAGCTTCAGGAGTACCATTAATTAACAATTTTTCAATAGAAAAGGTAAGATCAGATTTTGATTATCTTTTATTATTCTTTCCCTGCTTTTTGTAATGCACTGTATAATTCATTTAATACTGCATTTATGGTATGCAAAATACTTTTATGAAAGCTATATTATGTTTAGTGACTTTTTTTTGCTTGATTATGTGTATGGGTAGATAAAAGTAGCTTATAAAGAAATAAGGATCTCCTAAAACAATTAGCAAATGAAACTTGTGGTGGCTAATGTCTTTCAGTTTTATGCTTAAATTTGGGACTTGAAGTGAATGTTCAAGCAGAATTTTGTGACTCGTTGCTCTTTTTTCCTTTTCCTGAGCTCTTATAATTATTTAATTTTCTTTTAGGTAATGTGGGTAATTAATATTAATTTCAGACTTGTATTGTTAGAGGAATTTCTATTTCTTTCTTAAGGTTTCACAAAATAAGTTGCAAAATTAATCAATTTAAAGTAAATGCAATCATGTTGTATCTACATGTGCTATTGCATTGTATTATCGTGATTGTTTTGCATTTTTCTTGTTTAATTTGCCTATTGCTTCAGTGGCAAATTTGATAACACCTTTAGCAATTATTGTTAATCCTAAGATGAATATAGAAATGGATTAGGAATATGATAGTTTGCAAGGGAGTTAGATCGTCTATGTGGTAATTGAAAAATGTTAAAAACCTTGAACTATTCTGCTTTTGCAAATAACCCTCTTGTTCTTCTAAAAACCTTCTATGCTATAAATTGTCACCTAGCGCCGAGAAGGAAATAAATTGTTTTTATTCTGAAAGTGGTGTTTGATTCCATATATCTATTCTTAGAATTGTGTATATATTGGTATAAATTTCTAAATAATTTATCAATATTTTTCAGTAAATGTATTTTGATTCCATATATCTATTCTTGTAATGGGTTGCTCTGTATAAATATAAAAGATGAAGTTTTCATATGGAACCCATCTCTTAGAAAATCCAAGAGATTGGTGGATTCAGGCATGAGGGTAGGGATATATGGGCTTGGTTATGATGAGTTCATTCTTGATTACAAGGTGGTAGGATTCTTTCGTGGCACAAGTCGTTTGGTTCCCCAAGTGAAGGTCTATACATCAAGGACTGATACTTGGAGAAGGATTCAGGACTTCTCCTGGGAGAAACCTCTGGAATCTGGTAAATTTGCAAACGAAGCTCTCCATTGGTCTGTTGGAGTCAGTACCGGATCAAATTATTCTTGGGTGATTGTTTCCCTTGATTTAGCGAAGGAGACATACAAGGAGGTGGCACAACCTAAGTTCGGAGATGGTGTTTGCAGAGATGATGCTAACCATCGTCTTTATGGAGATGGTGATTACATTTTGTGGTTGGAGATTTTGAGAGGATGCCTATGTGTGCTGATGTATAGGTCATGAAAGAATATAGTGTGAAAGATTTTTGGACTAAATTAATCAGCATCCCTTATTTGACAGATCCCGGGTTTTATCAGTACTCAGTACCATTGTGCGTCTCTATGAATGGTGAAATTTTGTTGGAAATCAGATTATCTTTAGAGTTAAATGATTCAAAAGAGAGTACATTTAGGTATCCTTCCATTCCTAATTTACATTCTTTTCTCGAAGTGGATACTTATGTTGAGAGCCTTGTTTCACCTAGTGCCGACAATGAGCTTCAGGAGTCCCATTAATTAACCAAAACAAAAAATGTTGAACCACCACCTCATTTATAACATACAGTTTTTGTTGTAGCACTTCATCTTTAGCTCTTCTGCACGAGAGCCTTTTGACATTTCTTTTGAAATCATTTGAATTTTTTTATATTTTATTTCATTGTAAGATACCGGATGATTTTTGTTTAAATTATCTCGATAATTTTAGCATTTTTATATATTGTTCTTTTAGTTTTTTTTTTTTTTTTAAAAAAAAAAATCACGTTTCAGATGAATGAGTTTCTTGTAGTTTAAAAAGTCTTTGGGCTGTGGTTAGTTTATGATTGCTGCCATAAACTTACAACTCTATCTGGACAATATTTTTGGTTGCGAAGTCGCAACTCTATCTGCCTGCGTAAATATCATTTTTCATATAAACATGTTTATGAAAAATTCGGACAACCCATTGGCATATTTTGCTTTGAAAAATGAAAAAATAAAAAAAATGTTTTTGATTTTTCTGTAATTTCGTTTTTAAAATTAAGATTAGAATTTAAATATTAAAAATTAATTTCATCACGTACATCGGAATAGTCATTTATTATTTATAAATAATAATAAATATATGAAATAAAATTGACCCAATCCAAATTAATGTAAGAATAGTGTTTTTGAAATCGTCTCCTACTTTATCTTCTCCATTATTTCCTGGAGATAAATCTAATGGTTACAATTATCATTGACTATTAAATGCTTTTGTTTGATTACGTGATAATGGAATTCAACTAATACTGAAAAATGGAGAATGCCAACCCCATACCCATCCATATGTATCAGCAATTGGGCCTGGCCTACTTGTAGAAGCCCGTCAAGCCCTTTGAGCTCAACATATTCAAAGCCTGTGACCAGATCCTATTAAGCCAGTTATATTGGGTCTCTACTTGTGGAGTTCAGTTCAACTCATTTTCCTTGATAGATGATATATATTTTTTATTCGACCCTACCTAATTTTATGTGGCTGGTGTGTTTTTGAGCAATGATAATTAGTTGCGACATCCGACTGGTTGGTATCTCACAGGGGTGGTGGCTCTCACAACAACGGGTGAGAGTCCTACCACTACTGCGAGACACCCGACTTTTAAATATTGATACGAAATTTTCTATTATATAAGAATTTTAAGTGACGTGGAGACTTAAATGGTATAGATAAGAAACAACTTAAATTCAAATGAGAAATAAGATAAAAGTAAGGAATTTATCTTCCCCAAAATCTCTATGGAATCATAAAAAATCTCTGGTTACCATGTGTAACGATAATTACCATTCCTATAAGAAGGAAACGATATCATTTTGGATCGGAGAAAATCTCTCTTCAACAACTACTACCATTAATGCTTCTATAAAAGAAGTGATCGGTCAACCTAAAAAGGTATACCATAAGTCAACCTAAAAAGGTACGCCATAAATTTTATAGGTAATTGTTATCGGATATTGAATCGTCAAGTACTAACTTGACCGTCAGAGTGCACCCAGCCGGTACCACGCCGGTCATCACTTCTCTTGTCTTGTAGGAATCGCCAAGGGCTCCGAAGCGTACAGATTCTTGCATCAACAGTTGGCACCGTCTGTGGGAAACGTGTGTTAGTCGCAACAAATTACGATCTAGAAATTATTGATCTATAACGTTGTTCGTGTTCTTGGCCTTTGTTAGCAACACTGGCCAACTCCAACGTTTCGTTCATTATCAATCACAAAAAAATATATATATCATGAGTTTAGTGACGATCAAATTTCTGTTTCCATTGATATCTACAACTAAGAAAATGGGTACGTACAGTCAACTCTACCCGTGTCTATTACATTTTATCAAATTTATGGTTGATTCAAACTCTATAAATCCAATTCTTTACTCTGTTACGTATCTTGTATAAATATATATCTAGTATATTTTACACAGATGAGCACATACAGATCATTTTTCTTTCTATGAGCATGAGTTAGATTAGATCATAGTTAACAATTTAATCCATCATATATGGGTACAAGCTTGCAATGTCATGACTTCATATATCTGGTTTAACCATGAAGGCAGAGTAGTGGGCACAATGAGGAAACTGGTAAATTAGTTCTATAAGTAAAATTTTCTAGTCCAGGCTCAATTAGAAAGACATATATTTATAAGCAGAAATCTCCATATAGTTTTAGAAATGCCACAAGAATGTGAAAAAGTGGAGAACTTTGAAAGAAGAAGTTATACCTTGTAAGATGTGAGTAAACTATTTGTAATTTGAGTTATCTTTTGTTCATACTTTATTGCACAACATAAAGGGACAAGGAGAAACTTTTTGAACCCATGTCAAAATAAGTTCCAACCATCTCCCCCTCCCCCAACAAAAATTGAAGGGACCATGTAATAAATAATTAATTGATGCGTTAAATGTGGTCTAAGGACTTATAATGTTTTACTCTATTATGTATGGAAGAATTGTAAATTATTAAATACAAGCAACATAAATTCCAATTGACACCATACTTTACAAGCATCATGGCCATCCAATTAGGCAGGTTGTGATGGCGCATTTTCTTGTTATCATTGATGTACATCTTATGTCTGTTCTTCCTTCTTTATTCTTTTTGTCATTTTCTTTTCTTTTCCTTTTTTCCCCCCTGAAAGGACTGAACAGTACCATCTTCACTTGTTGGTGAAAATGGTATTTTCTCATTCTTCATTGAATTATATAGATACTTTAGCAATGATGGAATTTATGCTTTGTTTACTAAATCACATAAAATTTTACCCAATACCACAAATCTAATGGAATGTATGTCTCATTGAAGATCTTTGTACAGAGGCCGAAAAAAATAAATAAAATAAAAATGCTTATTTTATTTGGGTCAATATTAGACTAATTGGAATTTTATTAATGAATTGCACATTTCATGTTGGTGTATTTCGGGGTTTGGAATGGGATCCCAGGTGTTTCATGGCCACGTTTGTAAACGATAACTAATGTGGTAGAAATTCTATCTGTTATATATATATGCAGTCAAGTATTCATACATGGCATGGGATTAGACTTCTCGGCCCTCGAAAGGGAATTCATTATATACTAATTCTTTAACACTGCAAAATTAAAATATCATGATTGAATTGGTTTATAGGAAAAAAATAAATGGAATTCTTATATTTGATTTAATACAGTATATTGTTCTTTGAACTACATTTGAAATAATCTTTAATTCCAAGAGGAAGACAAATAGCATTACAACTCCAGTGATATTTTCTTGGACATGAGCCCCATCATTGCATACTCTTTCAAATATGAAAGTTTTGGTGAAAACCTTCTAATGGGAAACAGGGAATTATTTTGATTTCTAATTGAAATATAAGACCCATAATGTTTTAGTACCTAATCAGTTCATGTCTACCATGAATGACACATTACATACGCTTACCAAATTGTCGCGTCGTGGTTAATGTCAAAACTAGCTCATTTCATTTGTTAAAATTATGTGTTTATCATACTTGTCCCTAAGCTGGCAAAAACTAATATAGCCCCAACAAGGGTAGTTTGTAAATGCTTATAATGCAGGTAATCAAGGCAAACCACTTTGAACAGTGCCCCTATTTAGGTGTTTGTTCCTTGAGCACCTTTGATTTTACTCTTGACTTTTATCAATCGCTCGTCTCTTGATGTGCAAGCACGGGAATGGAATGGGGGCACCTAATATAGGATTCAAAATCCTATGGAGAGTTAGAGTAACACGAAACTCAGGAAAATTAATCTCCCTTATTAAAAAGAATTCAAAAGGATCAACCTCCCCATATTAAAAGGATAAGTTCATGAAGCTTGGAGAATCTACTTCCCTTGTTAAAGGGTGAGCTGATAAGCGCCGAATAATGTATATTCAAGCGCCCTAAATTACATTAACAAAGTCCAGTTATTAATTATTTTATGTAGATTAACTCCAATTCTATGTTTTTATGCATTTTCAGGTTCATTGGCCAAAATGGAACAAGAATAAGGTCTTGTGGAGTCTTGAGCAACAAAAGGGTGCCAATGCTGAATTCTGGCAGCAGTAGAGCCTGGACTTCGCTTGCCATTTTGACCTTCCAAACTCCAGAACTGGACTTCCCTCATAACATGAAAGATTTAGAGTTCTGAATCAGCTTTCCAAATCTTCAAGTGGTTCATCATTCGGAGTTCGGAGCAGAGAGTTATGATCTTCACAACAGAGGTGCGCAGAACTGCCTAGCAGCACTGATGTACTGCCTTTCTCCCCATTTTCGACCAACCAGACTTGAGATTTGGGTCTTCATCAAAACATGAAGTTTTTAAAGCACTGAATCAGCTCTCCAAAGCTTCAAACAGATCGTCATTCGGAGTTCGGGGCACAAAGTTATAGCAGTTTTCCCAAAATAGGTCAGCACTGAGCAAGAGGAGCATGTTGCACATTGCACTAAGTTAGAGTGCTCGAAGTCACCAAGCGTGCGCTCGAAAATCAGGCAGAATGCCCTTCGGAAATGGCTCATTTCAGCCCACTTGCACATTGGTTTCCTCAATGCCATCTTCCCTCTTTATGAAGTGGTTGGAGGTGTTCCTTGGAGGAGAGAGGGTATGGTTGGAGCATAAAAGGCTACCCAAAGGCCACATATATCATTAAGCTTTATCTTGAGCAAGAGAAAGGAGAGAGAAGAGAGCAAGGAGAAGGGTGTTCTTGAGTGCTACAGTAGGAGCTCGAAAATGGAGATGAGGATGATGCTTCTTCCTTCTTCTAGCTCACCAATGGGTAACTAAACCTCATCTAGGGAGGTGATGAAACCCCTCCCTTGTAAGCATGTGTTAGTATAGTTTATTTTTGGGGATTACAATGTATTTTTGATAGTCTTTCCATGGTCAAGAGCCTCATTTTTGTTGTAATGAATGTTGAATGTTTTAAATGATTATTGTGAGTTATTCATCTTGTCTTGGATGGTTGCCTTTCTTAATCATATTGCTTGCACTTCCATGGTGACAATGGAAGTTAGATCATGGAATGGTTTTAATGGCATGGAGTTGGAGAACCTAGATAGTTCATGGCTTAGGGTTTCCCTTTGATGGGCTATACTTGATTCTTAGCTTTATGTGCATTCACCATTTAAATTAGGGCTTGATAATCCTTGGCTTAGTAAGCATGTTCTAAGCTACATTTTAGTTTAGGTAGTTGATCATGTGAACCTTTGATGGTTTATTCTTGCCTTTCTAATTAAATGAACTTCTTAAGGATATTATAGCAACCTAGTATTGTTATGTATCATGACTATCATATATGTTGTTTTCCCCTTAAATTAATCTTAACCTAGCATGTGTAGAGGGATGGAGGTGGATTCATTTCCCTAGCCTTCTTTACTTGTACTCACTCCCTTGAATTCTT